CGAAAGGGAAAGGGGAATACGAAAGGGAAAGGGGAATACGAAAGGGAAAGGGGAATACGAAAGGGAAAGGGGAATACGAAAGGGAAAGGGAATACGAAAGGGAAAGGGGAATACGAAAGGGAAAAGAGAATATGAAAGGGAAAGGGGAATACGAAAGGGAAAGGGGAGTACGAAAGAGAAAGGGAATACGAAAGGGAAAGGGCGAAAAGGAAAGGGAGTACGAAAGGGAAAGGGAGTACGAAGGGAAGGAGGGAATACGAAAAATACACACACTACCCACACACAACACAAACCCACACTCCCAACCCACATACCTAAAGGAAAACGTAAAGAAAGAAGCCTAGGAGACCTAATAAAGAGAAGACCTGGACGAAAAAAATAGACCTAAAAAAAAGGAAGATAAAGAAGACGAAAAAAATAGACCTAAAAAAAAGGAAGATAAAGAAGACGAAAAAAAAATAAGAGATATTTATATTTTTTTTAAATTATATACTCAATTACTCAATACGTGTTGTGACTCACTTGTTATTCATATGACTGATATGAGTAAACTTATAATCTATATTGTACACGATAATCGTTATTTTAATCAAAATCACTCCACCCCTTATAGTTGTATAGGGGTTCTCTGATAATGACGCACACATTAGGTGGACGTCGAGTAATTTTTTACATTCAGGTTCTTGGGAATTTCATAGAGATCGAATTTGGTTCGATAAAATAGATTTATTTGAAAATTTTTATTATAATGTTATAAAATATAATTTAGATACTAGATAGTATTTTTATGTTTTTCTTAGTTTTTTTATTTCTTTCCATGTTGGTGGGGGAGTTCTGGGGTTCATCTTGGATGAGTTCCGTTTCTCTCCTCTTCAAGGTCAGGAGTCATCGTCTGTCTGGTTTACCAGCCTGCGGTTTGGTTCGTAGTGTTAGAATTATTTTCGCGGCAGTATTATTTGTATATTTATTGTTGTTCTGATAATTTGTACTACGACTTAGCATCTTCTGAAACATAAAAATAAAAATAAAAAAATAATCTATATTGTACATCGTCACGTCATTTTAGTATCTTTGTTTAGAAGTAAATATACACTTCGGACTTATACCCAGTTAAGCCGCCAAGTTTCAATTATACCTTGTAAAATTATCTAAACTTATTTTGGAATGATTTTATCTCAAATTATTTTTCCTCGTTTTTTTATGATAAACATTTTACCGGTGAAAAAAAATATACGGTAAATTGTAGAAATACCAATTTTATTTCGGAATAATTTATTTATTATAATTATTATATAAATATTTTCTTTTATTGGAATAAATTAATAAAATTTTGGAATACACGATATTGTTTAATATTAATTTAGCATAATAGTTGTACTAATTAATACAGTAATCCATCTTTAAAAGGTATAAACATAATTAATAATATAATTAATTAAATTAATTAAATTATATTCTAAAGATATATAGTAATCCATCTTTAAAGGTATTAAACATAATTAATTAAATATATTCTAAAGAAACCAAGGAAATATTATAAAAGGTGATGAAGAAAGTTTATGTTCGCCACCTATTTCACCTTGATCGCACCCACGTGACGTTAGCTGATTTTCTATTGAAAAATTTTTTCATACTTGAGTAGATGACTCACAGCTCGCAATAATTATTTAACATATAATCAAAATGTCATCGCCATTTCGAGTACTTTCGCCATCCCGAGTACAAACTAAATTCGAGGAAAATTCCCTACCCGCTAGGTTTTGTATCCAAAATGTCTTATTTGTGTTATTACTTTTTTGAACTTTGTTTCTAACTCCCGATTTTCGCGTTTGCAGATACTTCACTGGAATCATGATATTTTGTTTTGTGGTAGGTACCGACCTTGAGAACGTCTTTGAAATTGAAGGCTTCGCAGAAATGAGCATTTCGAAACTAAGGGATGTAATCTATGAGAAGAAAAAGAAATTTTTCGAAAACCAAAGTTATGATTCCTGCGATTTGAACCTATGGGTGGTGGATATACCTTACGATACAGAGAACGTTCAACTGAGAACACTTCAAAACAGATCCCGTGATATGGAGAAAGAAAAAATTATTATACAAGAACTCGGAGGTAAAAAGTTGTCTCCAGTTGATGATATTGGCGACATCTTTACGTATGACTCCAAGCATATCCGTATCATCGTACAAATTCCAACGCCTCCGCCTGCCACCACTGGTAAGTGTCTCCCAATGGTTTACCTCTCAAACAAAATTGGCTTTTTTGTAGGCTTAAGTCTACAATCAATAATAACAAGCGGATTTTAAGTGTTTTATTTCTTTTTATTTCACTGCATTAGTTACGCCGAAGTACATCCCTTCTGACGAAGTTAAAATTGAAATTAAAAACAAAGGTTCGTTACACTAGTAGTTTGGCTCTTTAACTTTTCGCTCACGCTCACTCTTGTTTTTTTAGTTTTGAAGACCTTTCCACACGTAGAGATTTCTTCAGAGCTTATTGACGCGCTCGCCTTGATTTGGGACGTCAGGGTAGCGTATAATGACTTCCCAGGCCAACAAAATGATCCGTATGTTGAACTGAAGAAGGAACCCTCTTTTTTCAAAGTAAATTTTCCCCGTGGGATAACCAAGGAAACTTCAAAAACGGTTGATCTGTGTCTCCCTTCCTATAGTAAATCCGGAATGAACTATCACAATCCCTTTTATGATGATCCACAATTCACAAAAATAGTTTCTCTTGTGCAAACAAAGATTGATGAAAATCCGGGAGACATAATTGTGATTTCTGGGGTTTCAGGTGGTGGAAAAACATCAACATCATTTGGAATTGCTATGAAAAATTGGTCAATTTATATTGATTTTTCTCCTCGCTTAGGGAATTATCCTGGCAGCCAGTTGCAATCAGAGCTTAAAGAAATCAGAGGTGCAAACCCCCAGTTTGAACGTATTGATCAACAAAATAGAGCATTTCAATTGCTTGACATAGCAGTAATCTCACGCGGACTTTTACTTATTAAGATGCTTACTGAGGGAAAAATTTCAACACCAAGTGAATGGCTGTTTGTACAGCTTCGAAACATGACTGATTCTAAAATCCGAGAGAAATTAGGCAATGAAATTTATGATAAAACAAGTCTTTACTTTTCCAATATTATCCAAGAGATTAACGATTTACTCAGTATAAGTAATCTAGTCTTAATATTTGATGAGGCACAAGTCCTATGTGAGTCCGTATATGGAAAATATGAAGGGAGTTCAGTTCCTGGCAAAAAGTGGAGTCTTTTGCAAGGTTATGTAGCACATCTTATCCAGCATCCCGTTACCTGCCTTCTTGCTGGAACATACATGCATATGGCGAGCGGAATTTCTCTTGTCACTTCTATTGGAAAATTCCCACGTATGCACGCTCATATTGTTCTAAAACTTCCCTTTCTCTTATATGATGATGTCCTGCGTAACCTTGATGCCGTATTTGATATGACGCATGTTATGCCAAACATTCGCGACCTCTTAGGATATGTTCTCCAGGGGCGACCTCGAAACTGTGCATCATTTGTTCAGCTATTAATAACAAAGAATAGATCAATTGGTAAAACGAAAAATCAAGTGTTAAAAGCACTTATTCCGTTGTGGTATAACAACATGTGCTCTGATATGGCAAAATATTTGCTAACTGCGTGTGAATATTTTGGTGCAGATCATATAAATCCAGAGAAAGCAATTATGGATGTTCTTAGACTTCGTGTTTTTTATAATCATAATTACATGGAAGCTATAAGACTTCTCCAGCATAGCATCATTCCTTGCATGTCACCAGAATGCATTGTTCTTGGCTCTAAAGATGAAGTTTCTAATGAAATCGAAATAAACCCATCGTTTGAATCTTATCTTATTGACGGCATTGCATTATATCTAAAAAAGACACAAAGACAAATGGTAGATGTCTTTGTTGACAACATTATCACGCTTAATAATATTTCATCAATTGGCAATGAACTTGATGCAGTTTTTATTACAGCAATCATTAATAAACGTGGGTTTAATGCACGAAAAGAACTTAATAAATGGAAAAATGGACAACAATTTGACCTTCCTTCATGGATCACTCCCACAATGGAGTTTGTTACAACTTCAAATCTATCAGGATGCATTCCTATAGTCAAATATGTTAGTGATCCGATGTATTACTCTTATGCAATTCAACCGGAGATATACTCAGGATCAGATGTTGTGTTTTATCTTGCAGATGATAATCACAATACGCTGCTAGTATCGGTAAGCTGTACAGTTTCTTGTGATCCTATTAATAAAGATAAAGTCATGGAACAGTCAATGAAGGCATGTTTGAGGCATCAATATATGGAATGTCGAAAAAAAGATGAAGAACAATTTTCTTCTAGGAAACCAAACCGCCTCCAAATTGGTCTTGATAAGAGTAATGATTTACCGTATGACTTTACAGCTAATGAAGGGGACAATATGGAATGTTCAAGAAAGCGGAAAAAAGATGAAGAAGAATTTTCTTCTAGGAAACCAAAACGCCTTCTTGGTAAGAGTAATGATTTACCGTATGACTCCACAGCTAATGAAGGGGACAATTTAGAAAGAGAGAAGGAAAAGAAGAAAGAAAAGAAGAAGGAAAAGAAGAAAGGGAAGAAAGATTTAAATTATGATTTAAACTACACTGAGAATACCAAGAACTATCGGATATCTAAGGTCCCTGAGCACGCAAATTATCACGAGCAAATCAAAACTTCTACAGAGAATCAAAGACATATTTATGTTTTACTGGAGCTTCCACATAGAAAAGACAAAAGACCAGAGTTATTTCGGTTCAATGAATATGGTGACCTTGTGATTGTTGTGGATGATCGTAACATGGAATATATTTTTGGACCAGCCATTAAGAAGCTAGTGGAAAGAATTAGGCGTGTAAAAAAACTCCCCAAAAAATAGTATATTATACTTTGCAGTAATTTTTTATGAATGATTAAATGAGATTTAAATTAATTTATATATTTAAATATATTTGTCAATATTTTTAGTAATGTAAAGCAGTGTTTGGAAAATGACTTAAAAAAATTCTTCTTGATTAATAGGTGGATTCACCTCAATAAACTATTTAATTATTAAAGTTTTATTGATATCACGGAGTTACGCGTTTGTATATTATTTCAAAATAGCACAGCTAAATTTGTATATATGTAATGCGTAGATATTTTAACTTCACATTTAATATTAATATCGGAATTATTGTTGAAACGAATCCTAAAATTATCATTATTATATTGAAGAAAAAAAAAGAGTTATATTACTTTATTCATCTCTAGATAAGATTTTTAAATGAGATAAATTTTTTATCGATCTGATCAATCCTTTTACGTTATACACCTCCTCCTTTTTTAACATGTCATATCAATAAAATGAGGGTTGTAAATAAAACATAATGAAATTTAGCAATAAAAATTTGTCAAGGACCTAGTCCAATTTTTAATATTAAAAGTGTCCAAAATCCAATTTAATTGTGTTCAACTAGTTTGGAAGCACATCCAGAAGAAAAAATCTTCCTGAACCAAAAAATTCTTATGATTATTACTATGAAAAAATACTAATTGAATTCTATTATTTATTAAAAAAGAATCTCTACAAATTGATGTTCCACAATAATATTAATGATTCTCAACAAATTGATGTTTCATATTTAATATTTCTCAAATATTAACGAAGCTGATAAATTATAGTAGTAGGTTTAAGGGCAAGACAATTAATTTATATGTGTGGTTTATTAATATATTATTTGGATATTTATTATTACAATTTGAATTCTATTTATCGTTCACTGAAGCGTACCAAAGTTTCAAGTTTTTCAGAATTTCAGAAGTCCACAGTAACTAACTAGTTTTATTTTTGGGTTTCTTCTATTTTTGGCCAGTTTTTTCTTGGACTTCTTTAGATTTCTTCTTTGATTTCATTGGATTTCTTTTCCTTGGGTCTTTCTTTTGATTTTCTTGAGTTTTTCTTTGAATTTTTTTTCGTATTTCTTCTTTGGGCTTCTTTAACCTTCGGGTTTCCTATTGGATTTCATCTTGGGTTTCTTTTTCTTTGGTTGGATTTTTTATTTTCTTTATACTTTGTGATTTCATTTTTACTTTATATTTGATTTCAGATTTATTTCAATTTTGGCCATCCATTTATCTTCTCATTTATTTTATCTTTGGTTCGTCCCAATTTCAATTATTTTTGACTTCGGTGGTAAATCACATGGACCTATAATATGATGTAACGGGATAATAGATTTTTTCCCATTCATGATAAATGTATTTTAGATTATAATAAAAATTTTAATCAATTAAAAACTATATAAAAATTAAACATTTTTTTTTTATACAAAATCTTTTAATTTTTTATACGTGTGGTTTATTATGGATGAAATAATTTTATAATTTAATTATAAAAAGAAAGATCTCTAACGAAATTCTTTAATAAAAAAAAATTTTAAGCCAAAATTCTCAATACTCTTATTAAAAAAAATTATATTCAATAAAATTTTCTATTAAAAAGACTTCTAAACAAAATTTTCTATCAATAAAAGAATCATTTAAAGAAAAAAATTTCTAACGAAGATCTTCCATCAAAATCGCATATTCCCTCCCTACTAATAAAAATCCAAAAAAAGATTCTTATCCATTAAAAAAAATTCTCAATGAATTTCCTTATCAAAAAAAACTCTCCTCTATCAAAAAAATATCTCTCCTGTTAAAAGATTTTTTTTATAGATAATTTTGCTGGAAAATTTTTTTTTTAACAAATTTAACAAAATTATCTATCAAAAAAAAAAATTCCTCTATTAAAGAAATTCCCCTATCAATAAAAAAATTCTCTAATGAAATGTTTTATAAATAAAAATCTTATTATAAAAAATAATTTCCCAAAGAAATTCTATCGAAGAAAAACTTTACCTATATTAAAAAAAAAAATCTTTATCAAAAAGTTTTATTTTATAAAAAAAAAAAAATCTCACTACGAAAATTTTCTAATTTTGTCTATCTTTTTCATAAAACCAAAATTTTATTTTTCCATTTCTTATTATTAAGTGTTTTAATAAAAAGATGTTTTGTAGTGTTTGCATAAAAAGACTTTATGTTTTTTTGAAAAAAAAATATTTGGTCAATTGATCACCTTTATGTAAAGGATTTTGAGTGAATTAAAAAAATTAAAAAAATCTCATTTAATAAAAAGAATGAATCATTTTATTAGTGTTAGCAATAAATAAATAAATACAATAAAAACGAATAATAAAATAAAAAAAGAATTTATTAGTTTTATTTATTAATATTAATAAGAAAAAAAATTCAACGTAAAAAAAAAATCTAAAAAAATATTTTGATTAAAAAAAACCAAATTAAAATCAATTTTATTTGGTTTGAAAAGAAAAGAAAATAAATTTCCAGTTTGAGAGAATCAAAAAAAAGGTATCTGATAAATCAAAAAAAGGTACTTAATAAATTTTCCGATTTATGAGAACTGAAAAAGTAAAAAACAAAGTCCGTTATTTGCCAAGTGAAATATAATTTATAAGACAAATTTTAACTGGGATTATCTTGATTTATAAATATTATCAACTTAGATTAATTTATCCCAAACTTTAACATAATATTGCGTTTTTTCATTCTGTCTTTAAACAGCTTGTTTAATTAATTTTATTTTTTGAAAGATTTCATGATAAACATTCATTAACTAAATCTTTATAGGATGATTTTGTATCAAAAAACTCAATTTATTAAAAGAATGGGTTCTGCAGCTAGAACCCTTTACATTTAAAATTGAACGAGGAGAATAGTTTTAAATATTGCTTTGATAATTTACTTCGAAATTATCGTCATCACCAAAATCATCACTTTCATCCAAATAAACTTTAAATAAACTCAAAAGAAATATTCAATGATTTATTTACAAATTATACATAGTTTTCATATATTTATATTAATTCTATTAATGGAATAATAAATACTACGCAAAAATATTCAATAATGAAAGTTTACTAGACTATACTAAACATAGTATATCGCACACCCCAATGTCACGGGTTTTAATGATGATGATCGTGATTATGTAAGCAGGACCGATCCATTTCATGGGACAAATTGTCCAGTGTAATAGTGTAATAAGTTGGCCCATGATCAAATTTACGCATTGGAATTTTCGTTATAAATATTCCTTAAGATCGAGGAGGGAAGTGAGGAGAGAAACACAACCCTTCATCTGCTGAAAACTTGTAATTTAAAGATTATGGTCAATAAATTTGATTCTTTGATATCAAATTCCGAATTAAAAAAAATCAGTAAAAACTTTGGCAGTTGATTATTTTAAAGAAAAACGTAAAAATATACAAGATCTAAATTAACAGCAGATATGTGAATGTAATAATGATGCATTCCTTGGCCTTATAATTCATTATATTGACAATAATTGGAACCTAAAAAACTTGTTACTAGATATTATTTCTTTTACTACCCGTCATATTAAAGTCAATATAGCTATAACTACTGATAATGAATCGGCAATGGTAATTTGTGAAAGAATAATTGCAGAAGAACTTACAAGATCGGTCTTTTTGACATTATAGGTGCATATATTATAAATTTGGCCGAGCAGCAAGAAATTGAAATTATTGATGATTGAAGTTTTTAAAATTCGTGAGTTAATGAAAAAAATTCAACATATTACATAATTAGATGTTGAATAGCACCTATTACATGATTGTGAAATTCCAAAAAAATGTTGCGTCCTATTGAAATGTTAGCTGCAACAGATCAGGACATTAGAAAATTGTACCAGACGCATAAGGATGGATAAAAATAATGTAAGCGCTAGTTTTATTTTTCTATTCATCATTAATAACGTAAATAATAACATATCTAATCTAAAAAATAAAGACTTACATGAATATGATAGTACTCTTACATTACTCGATCCATTAGAAAAAGCGTTATTGCTTCATATACCACCATTTCTGATGTAAGGATTTTATTCCTTGAAATTCAACAACAACTAAATGATAGAAGGATTTGGTCAAAGTGAAGTAGTATCATCATCAATACTTCAAAAAATGCAGTACTAGATCCACGCACAAAACTTATTTTATCTGTAATTAATCTTGACAATGGTGAAGTAGCAAGTACTCGTGAATACTTTAATCAATTTAAGAGGAGACGATTAAATAATGATACTACATCAAATATTGCAAGACGATATCAACTGGAATTAATGAAGAGATTGACCAGTATCTATGTGATGATAATGTTACACCATTGTTATGGTGGCAGGCCATTTTCAAGAGTTTCCAACATTAGGAGAAATAGCACGAGACCATTTATCCATTCAGACCACTAGTGTTGCGTGCGAGCAAGCATTTTCTGTAGCGAGTAATACTATAACTCGCGCAAGAAATAGATTGCAACCAGATACGTCTCGTGCATTATTGCGTTCAAAAAGTTGGCTTGAAAATGAGAATATTAAGAGGACAATGGGTACGTAATGTTTAATCTGTATATACTTTTGTTAATAAAGTTCATAAGAACAAATTTTTTCATTTACGAAATATAAATAAATATGGCTTTGATGGGAATTATTACAAAGCTATTATCATTTTGGTCAATCGATGAATTAATAAATTTTTTTTGTAGAACAATTATTTTATAAAATAAATAAATTATTTAAGTATTTTTTTATTCAAAAATTAACCAATCAATTTAATCGGGATTAGCTCCTGTTTCAGGGACATTTTAGAAGAAAACTAGTTGTTATCAATAATAGTAAACAGAGATGTGAAGCGTAATCCCTTGTATATATCTATGACGCAAAATAAAAAACGTTAATAGTATTGAGTATGTGCATTTTTTTAATAATAATATATATCAAGTTAAAACACTGCTTGTGCCAGTATATTTCGATAATACGATACCACAGACGCTATTTATATAATATTAATATACAATTGATGGCTAGTTTGAACATTTTGTTGAAATACAGCTGTAAAAGCATTAAATGTTTTTATTTTAATAGTTTTGATAATGATAATTACTATTTATATTATTATGCACACAAATATGTTGTTATTTCCTCCAAACAATTCCTATTATAATACGTCTTGCTCATAATTCCAAAAATCATTATCATGATATTTATATCCAATAACTCCTTTTATTTTATGATTTTCAATAAACTCAAACCAATCATTATTATGATTATTATGATAATATAAGTGTAAAGTTTTTTTACTCATAAGATTCCAATTATTAAAAAATAATTTTAAAGATTTTATATTAAAATTTTCAAATTCATTATGAATGTGAATTTTGTATAAAGTGAGTGGAGCTAATTTAATCAACAAATCCAGGAATTTATTAAGATATTTATGTTCGATATACTCGTCCATATCTATTGCTTCCAAGTGTTGGCACTTGATGAGGATATTCTTTAATTCTTTCAGGGTGTTACTTCTATTCAAAAATATTGTAACATATTTTATATTTGGACAATATTTATGAATTGTCCGATTATATTCTTTTGCTTGATCGCAATCAGGATATCTAATTTTAATTTTATAAAGATTTCCATTGGTATTTTGAATTATTTTTATGACTATATGAAGTGGTATGGACTGTAGATCAAGTATTTGAAGTTTATAATAACTTGCTTTCATTATGTACTTTTCAAAATTTTCACTTATTTCATACATCTTTTTATTAAGTATTTTTAAGAATTGCAAATTAATTAATTTTGAAAAGGAAAAATGTAGGGAAGAAGTATTCATAATTACATCTATATAATTAATTGAATTCACATGTTTTTCTAAAGATTGGATAATCCTATTACATTTATCATTTTCATCTAGTAAACGTTCATTTCGTTCATCTAGTATACTTATGTATTTAATTTGTTTTTGCATTTCAATTAATTCCACAATTTCATCAAACTCATCATTTCTAACTTTGTAAATATTTATTCTAATTTTTTCTATTGATCTGCATATTTGTGCCAATTCATGATAAAAATAAAAAGTTTTCTCTTTTATATCACAATTTAACTCATATAGATTTGAAAGTGAAATATTTGCTCTTGGATATTTATATAATGGATAATATAACATATCTTTACTTAAACATTTTATTGATGAACATTCTCTAATAAAATGTTTATAAATTTTTTTCCTTAATAATCTTGATTCATTTGGAAAAATTATCTCAATATTATTAAGATATTTGCAAAATTTAACATAATTAAATGAAAGTTTTTGTTTTTGAAAATCTGCTTTAATGATATTTTTATCTATTAAAAGTTTTATTATTTTATCTGATAAATGTGAAATGATAATATTGAATAATAATTTTTCATTATAAACATTTTTATAAGGATAACTCCATAAAATTGGAATCATAACTTCATACCAAAGTTTATTAACTAATAAACAAGGAAATAGAGATATTCTATATTCTATATTTTGATTTAAATCATTTAAATCTTGAAAAATTTGTTCAAGAATATCACTATTTAATTTTGACATTTTTTTTTTCTTTTCTTTTTTTTTCAGGCAAAATGGATGAAAAGAAGTAAAGAAAAAGAATTAATATTTATTTATGATAGTGTCATAATTTTATTGCATGATCCTATAAACCATGATTTGTTTGACTAATTTTTTCATCAATAGTTTTTCATCATACAATATTAGTAAATAATAAGAAAACAAGTGAAGTAATCAAGTAACCCTATGTTCTGCATTAGTAATTACATTAGTTAAACGTCATTTCAATCATTTCAAATATGTCAGATATCCCTTGTTATAACGAATCAGCCAATTAAATTCTTTAAATTCTTCAATATATCGAGTGACTGTATACTTCTTTTTATATCAAGTAACTACCTTCTAATGCATATTTTCGAAAAAGAATGAGCATTACAATGACCAATCATTTTGTTTATTTTTTATTTTATTTTTTATTTTTCTTTCTTTTTTTTTTAAAAAAAAAATGCATTTTTGTCCTATTCTGAAATAAGAAGATAAAACTCTAATCTGATAACCCACTTTTATACAGCTAACTTTATAATAAAAAATATTGCAATACTTAAGAATTATTATCAAAATTGTAATTTAAATTTCAATATACTGGAAAGTATTTAACTGGAATAAAGAATATAAGAGAGTAAATAAGTGATAAGACTGAAAAGAGGCGAGACAAATTTCTTTTTTAAATAGGACTTATATTTTTTTCTTTGGGATGCTGTGGAAATAACTGATAATATTGATCGGACATGAGATTAAAACTGGAATTATAAAACCCTTGGCGTCTCTAGATTAGTGAGAAAGAGAATTTTATTGATTTCTTAAACTAATATCAATTTTCTTTCGTTCTATCTATAAGATGATTACAATAATGCTTTGAACTGTCTAAAAAGAAGTAATAATTACTTTCTATCTAGATAATAAATAAAATAAACATAAAGAACTTTAGTGTTTCAGCAGTGTAATTGCGTAAAGAAGAGGCATGTAAAATATGAAACGATCATTTAAAACTTGGTTGCATACTGTAATGAAAAAACCGTTCTCCTCCATATCAAAACTTTGTAAATTATTTAGTTCGTCTAATTTTATTAAAAGGGTTAAAAAACTCGTGACTTCATAAAATCAAAAAGGAATTTTTTAAAATAATTATTATAGTTGACTTCTAGCTAAATCATCCATTGCATGAAGGTTAATAAATCTGGCAATTTCCTGAACTGTGCCCTATGGCGCTGCAGCAAGATATTTTTTTCAATTTTTCATTTTTAACAGGATTTTTCATACAGTACAACAAAAAAACGTATGAGATAGAATATTTATTAAATTATTAAGATATACATTTTTATTATAAATATATACATACTCATCATCATCAAATCAGGTATATTTTTTTAATTTTTATAGTATTAATAAATACTTTAAATAATTATTATGATACATAGTACATATTTGTAATTTTTTATTGCTTCTAATTTTTGAGGAAAAAAAAAGGAATAAAGATTTCTTTTATTGTGTGTCATATATACAAAATAATGAAATTTAATTTTTTAAGTTAAGGACCCCAAAATATATATAGTATGAATTTCTTAGGACCGGAATTAAATAATGTCAGTCAGTATCTAAAATAGGCAATAAACTGGCAATAAAATTGTGGCCGGTATTATCCATAAAACGCAAGATCTACATGATTAAAAGCTACGTTAATATTCACTTACAATAGTTTTATAGAATTGGGAAAAGTCCTAGTTTATTTATCATTACTTAATTAATTGATATGATTTACTTTAAAGGAATTTTTCAATGCAGATTAATGCATCGAAAAAATTGGGCCCATAAATTTTTTGTTGTAACCTCTACTTTGGTTAAAATATTCCTTTTTAGTAATTTAATCACGACATATTGATTAAAAAAAAATTTTTTGTAAAAAAAAATAAAATAAATTTCTAAGATAACCAAATGGAAACCAAATTTAGTGAATCAAAAATCTCAAATAAAGATACTGATACAGTAAACACTGAGAATTGTTCATATTGCAATAAACCTTTTAATGAGGAATTATGGTGTAAAAAATGTATTAATTCATTAGAAAAATTAGCAGAAAATGGTGATAAAGAAGCAATGTTTAATTTAGCCAAATGTTATAAAAATGGAGAAGAAACAGAAAAGAATTTAGAAAAATCTTTTTATTGGTATCAAAAAGCAGCAGAAAATGGTGATACTGATGCAATGTTTAATTTAGCCATATGTTATAGAAATGGAGAAGGAACAGAAAAGAATTTAGAAAAAGCCTTTTATTGGTATCAAAAAGCAGCAGAAAATGCAATGTTTAAATTAGCCATATGTTATAAAGATGGGGAAGGAACAGAAATGAATTTAGAAAAAACCTTTTATTGGTTTCAAAAAGCAGCAGAAAATGGTTGTACTGATGCAATGTTTAAATTAGCCATATGTTATAAAGATGGAGAAGGAACAGAAATGAATTTAGAAAAAGCCTTTTATTGGTATCAGCAAACAACAGAAGTTAATAAAGCAAGTTTTAAAAATGAAGAAGTATGTAATGAATGCAAACAACCATATATTGATTACCAGTGGTGTCAACAATGTAATACTAGGCGACTTCAGCAAGATTTTTCAAATTGGACTAGTAAAAATGAATTTATTGATGAATTTATTCAAGAAGCACAACTAAATGCTAGAAATAGTTATGAAATTTTAGAGTGGATACCTTATAATAGATTATCAAATATCAATTATTATGATAAAGGAGGATTTAGTGAAATTCATAAAGCTATTTGGTCTGATGGGCCTATTTACAGTTGGAATTTTGACAAACAAAAATGGAAAAGATGTAATTTTCAAACAGGTTATGAGGTCGTTCTTAAGATACTTAAAAATTCATCAAATTTAGATAGCAAATTTCTTGATGAGGTATAGTGTTTGTATTTAATAGCAAATTTAATTTCTTTAGCAAAATTTAATAATTTTTTATTATTTATATAGTGGAAATATCATTATAATTGTCAGAAAAAATCATTTTCAAGATTTATTCAATTCTTTGGAATTACCCAAGATCCAAATAATTTAGATTATATAATAGTAATGAGTTATGCAAGAAAAGGAAGTTTGAGAAAATGTTTATCTGATATAATTAAATTAAAGTGGCAAGATAGGTTACAATTATTGAAAAAAATTATATTAGGGCTTAAAGTAATTCATGAATCAAATTTAACTCATGGTGATTTTCATGATGGTAATATTAATGTCAGATAATCATAATGAGTTATTTATTATTGATTTAGGATTATGTAAACCTGTAAGTGATTTACAAGATTCTGATAATGGAGTCAATGAAATTTATGGAGTTATACCTTATATGGCACCTGAAATATTAAGAAATAAACCCTATACTCTAGCAAGTGACATTTATAGTCTTTCAATGATAATGTGGGAATTTACTTTATGTAAACCTCCATTTAATCATGAAGCACATGATCATTACCTTGGTTTGAGTATTTGTGAAGGGAAACGTCCTGAAATTATAATAAGTACTCCAAAATGTTATATAGATTTAATGAAAAAATGTTGGGATTCAAATCCTTCCAATAGACCAACCATAATAATGCTTGAAAATATCATATCTGAATGGATCAGATGTATTGACGAGTATTATAGAATAAATAGTAATAAGAATGACGATGATTATTACTATAAAGTAACTAATGTTGATAATCAATTAGAAAATGATATGTTAGAATTTATATTAGCTAACGAAGCTTTAGGTCAAGAACAAGAAAATACTTTTATTATATCAACTCATCCACAAGCATATTATACAAGTCGCAAACTTACTGAAATGTTAGCGTTAGTTCAAGAAAAGTCTGAGTGTTTAGAATGTATAATTGATGATTAACAATTTTGTTATTTATTTTTTATTTGTTGAATTATTTATCTGTTATTATATAGAAAATGTTTATATTATGTGTAATTTTTACATTATAAAAATATTATTAAAATAATATTTATTTATAATTTGTTTTCATTTGCAATTTATGTATAATTTAGTATCCAATCTATACTTCAAAATTTTACTTATTACTAGGAAATGGAAACTGTTGTAAGTCCGTAGCGAAAGATTTTGTACAAAAATCCAAATATCTTTTAAAAATTTCAATTTGTACCAAAGATCTGACGTCCCTAAAAAAAAAATGAAACGTTAGAAACGTTTCTTTAAAGTTAAACAAATAAGAAAAGCCCCTCTTCACAATATACCTTTAAAAGTCCGGCATGTACAAAAAACCCGCGTTCCTAGATAAAAAAATAAAAATGAAACGTTTAAAACGTTTCTTTAAAGCAAAACAAATAAAAAAAATAACTACCAGTCCGGTATGTACAAGAAATCCAGAAACCCTAGGAAAAAAGTAAGAAATGAAACATTAGAAACATTTTTTTAAAGTCAAACAAATAAAAAAACCCTCCATTTCCTAATTTACCTTTAAAGTCCGGTATGTATAAGAAATCCATAAACCCTAGAAATAAAATAAGAAATAAATCAAAAACATTTCTTTAAAAAAAAATACTCACTAGCCGAAACTGTTTATCATAGACTTATTACACTTGTTAGATTATTAATAATCGTCGTCTGGCCAATAGTAGTTTATTATATATTATGTAATAATCGCGACTGACATTCTGTGCAGACCAATCAGCAGAAATGACGCGTGCGGACAAACGGACTTCGCCACGTGATCCAATATGTCATTAAGGTTAAGGTTCATAAACATATATAGTCCTTCGCTTCACTCCGGACAATTATTGCTTTAGAACGAATGATATATAATCATTATATTATAATAGTAACTGAATACTTAAATATATTCAATAAATTCATTTAATATAGTATATTATCAATGCTAATCTTTCGAAACAACTTGGATTATTACTTCTATCAGTCTTCTATCCCTTTTTAATTGAGGTTGGTAAATTATTTTATATTGTAGACAAAGAGGTTGATAGTGGATTAGTGATAATAACAGATCAAAATTAATAAAATAACCAAAGAATTCATACACGTGATTCTAACTACGCCACGAAAGTGTCTCTCAAGTGAATATTAGTTATTGGATGGGCAAATAGAGGTATCCGAAGCTTAACAAAACACTACAAAATTATTATTATTATTATTATTTTTTTTTTGAAAAAAAGATTTCTAGCTAAAATAGCTAGATTTTTTTAACATACTGTGATTAAATTAATTTTTTTTTATTTATTACATTCTTGTAATTTATAATGTACATATTTAATAATTTAACAAACTCTTGTTAATTTATTTAATTTATTATTTAATCATAACCGCCAATCTGCAGAATACATGATAATTTATGATATACTTTCAGTGACTAAGTAGAGTTATTTAACAAATACGGAACACCAATGTTTATTAACTTTGTTAACATTGTTCTTGTAGAACAAATTGTTTAATGAAATTAACTGTGGTTTAATTTTATTACGTAATTTCAGTATTTTAGCTATATAAAATCAAATGGTTATAGATTTACTGTGCCGTGCACGTAATTTTAGCACTTTTGTTAAATGAAACAAACAAGTAAAATTATTCAACTAGAGTTATCAATATTTATGGAGTAACAATAGTGTATAAAAATAATATTTGTTTATTTGTTTATTTAATTTAATTAAGTGTGAACGAGTATTATAAAATAATAAAAATTTTATTTTATTATTTTTTAAGAATTGAAAATTCAATAAATGTCACACCCGTAACAATCAATATTCGGACGAATTTGGATCTCCCACTTTATATTGTTAACAATTATAAATTTATCGATATATTACATAATAGTAAGTCCGTAAATCACATTCTTGTAATAATTCACTACTTCATTTCATTTATTTACCACAGGCAATATTTTGTCACAATGCGGCGTTCGATATTAATATTGGTGTAACCCGAGGTGGTGCGTCCAGATTTATTATTACGGTAGAAGTTTCATACTTATAATTTTTACACAGCATATAAAAAAACATAATATGAAAATTTTAGTCATAAATAAATTTCATTGTCGAAAGTAAAAACTTTATTTGCGTAATTATTTATTATTATTCACTTCTGTTTCTTCTGCAGTTTCCATATAAATTACAGCACGCTTGTTAGTTAGGTATCACAAAAAATTTCTTTGAATGACTTCATTGCAGATCATTTTCTTTTTTGGCGCAACATTATTTTGAATATAGAAAATTCCTATTATTTAGATATTTTTATAAATAAATATTTTATAAATATTTTTCCTTTAATAACAATTTCATTGCCATTTTCAGAAATGTTGGCGTTTCGAATATAACAATTAAATAAACAAGTAATTAGAAATTCGTGTGACTTATTGTGCGTGCGCAGATCTTTCGTGTGACTTATTTTAACCAAAAACGTCACTTTTTTTTTTTAAAAAAAAAAAAGTGCTCTAATTTTTTTTTTTTTTTTTCTGCAAATAATAAATAATGTCTGATAAAAATGAAAATGAACAAATTAATTTAATTGAAGAAGCTATTTCTAGTAAACAAAAAAAATCTTACATGGCCTGATAAATACAGATTAGCATACCAATTGGTTTGTGCTATATCATGTTTACATGATGAAGGAATTATCCATCGTGATCTGGTAATTTTACTTTATTTCATTAAATTATTTGTAATTTTTTTTTTTAATTTAATAATTATACTTATATATTTATTATTATTATTATTATTATTATTATATATTTTAATAAGCACTCCGACAATATAATAGTACATCAAAATAATATTAAATTAGTTGATTTTGGGTTATCAAAAAGAATCAAAGAAATATGTAAACATCAGACAGACTTATTCGGTTTAGTTCCTTATACTGATCCTAAAAGGTTCACTGGTAGTAACAAATTAACGCAACCATACTTATTAAATAAGAAGAGTGATGTTTACAGTATTGGCGTACTTTTATGGGAGATATCAAGTGGTAAATTACCATTTGAAGATGAATCATATGATGCTGGTTTAGTTATGCGAATTTTACAAGGTTACAGAGAAACGATTGTTCCAAACTCTCCTTCCGATTATTCTAAACTTTATACTGGTAAATATTTTATATATTATTTGTTCGTTATTTTAATTTTAAATCTTTACTAAATTAATATATGTATACATATTAGAATGCTGGAATAGTGAACCAGACAATAGGCCAACTATGGATCAAGTAGTTGTAAAATTAAAAGAAATTATTATGAAAACAAATGTAATAGTAAATTCTCAAATGCGAATTGATTCAGACAATGTTGATAAATCAAATGTTAATTTATTGTATGAGACGAACATGACATCGATTTGTTTAAGCAATTTGGTTGATGAATTGGTTAATCTTATTTATAAGAAACTTAATGAAGGAAATGATAAAGAAGTAATAAAACAAAATGTTCTTTTTAATATTAGTAATCATAAATTAACTTCAAAAGAAATCTATACTTGGTTATTAAATAATCAAAATAATTCAAATTCTATCATATTACTTGGATATCTTAATTATTATGGAATTGAAACTGATATTAATGTGAAAAAAGCATATGAATTGTTTCAAAAAGCTGCAGATTTGGATAATAATGTAGCACAACTTTATCTTATCTATTTATATATTATTGGGCAAGGTGTTGATAAAAATTACAAATTTGCTTTTGAATTATCTAATAAATTAGCAAAACAAGAATCTGCTTGTGGAATTAATTATTTAGGTTATTGTTATGAAAAAGGAATGGGAACTGATATTGATAAACAAAAAGCATTTGAATTGTATCAAAAGGCGGCGGATTTAGGAAATTCAAATGGGATAGGTAATTTAGGATATTGTTATGGAAGAGGAATCGGAACTGATGTTAATATGCAAATGGCGTTTGAACTCACTCAAAAAGCAGCTGATTTAGGGAATTCATATGCAATGGATAACTTAGGTCAATGTTATAATAAAGGAATTGGAACTGATGTTAACGCGCAAAAAGCATTTGAATTATTTCAAAAATCTGCAGATTTAGGAAGTTCAACTGGTCTAAGTAGCTTAGGAACTTGTTATGAAAAAGGAATCGGAACTGATGTTAATGTGCAAAAAGCATTTGAATTAAATAAAAAAGCAGCAGATTTAGGAAATACACATGGAATGAATAATTTAGGACGTTGTTATAGAAAAGGAATTGGTATTGATATTAATTTACAAAAAGCATTTGAATTTTATCAAAAATCAGCAGATTTAGGAGATTCATATGGAATGAATAATTTAGGAAATTGTTATAGAAAGGGTGTTGGAACTGATATTAATAAGCAAAAGGCATTTGAAATATATCAAAAAGCTGCGCAATTAGAAAGTGATGTAGCTCAATATAATCTTGCTTTGATGTACGAAAGTGGTGATGGGATTAAAAAAGATATTGATCAAGCAATTTATTGGTATAAAAAATCTGCTGAACGGGGACACAAAAATGCACAAAATAAATTAGACGAATTAACAAATACAGATGTTATTTTATAGATGTTTATTCATAGTATACTGAAAAGATATTTACACGAACGGTAATTATTGGTTTTAGAAATTTATCTGTGATAAATCTCTGATGTAAAAAAAATAATAAATTTTATGAGCAATTTTAGCTTATCATCATGGTACTTTATTTGAATAATTGATACTAAATAAACATTAAGCTAATCATATTTTTTAATGTGTTTGATAAAAATTTGTAAAAATAATTGACAGGATTATCAGTGAATCGTATATTACTAAATAAAATACTATATTCCTTAAGATTTTTTCCAGATTAGATAATTCACGATAATTATATTTCTTAATTTTTACGTATACTACTCTTTATCGCTTTATCGATGACCATAATTTTATAAATATATTATATATATATAGAAACACGCTCTTGAGTACTATTTTAAAATAAAACATATTATTTTATTAAATCGCGCGAGCTGCAACTGAAAATTTTTAAAAAATAACACTTTTCTAAGTAATTAACTCTAGAATAATGTCATATCATTATATATACAACAAATAGGCATAAAAATATAAAGACATAAAAATGATATAATAAAACACCTGAAAGGTGTTTCATATATTCGTGGTATTTCAGGCCTTGGTAATTTTGTTTTTATGAAGTTAATATCAATAATATCATCTTCTTTAAAAGCTGAGATCTGTTCTATAGAAAATGTATGAACCCAATGAATTATAAATGGGCCTATAACATTATAAATAGCATATATTTTCTAGCCTTTTTAATTTTATCCTTTACTACACATAGCTAAAGAAGTACCAGCTGGTAAATATCTCTGAACCTCTGTATTTAACTTATGTCGTGCCTTCTTCTGCCATTTCTCTATTAATTCATTGAGACAAATAATTACTGTTAAGCCAAATTTGTAATAGCAATAGATGGCATGGAAATTAGCCTTGCCAATTTTTCAAGATAATTTGCATAGAAGCTCAGAGGGTTGATAATTATTCTAAAGAAGTACTTCGGGTATTGCTAAATATCACCAGTGGTGATCGTCACCACACAAAAATATTTTTTGAATTTTCAAAATTTTTGACTGAGATATTATTCTAATTATAATATAAATATCATTAATATATGTAATAATATATATTTATGAGTAGAACAAGTTTCCCTTAGATTATAAAAGCTGTTGTTTAGATAGTTTTTGAGAAAAACAGGAAAGTTTGATTTTATAAGTAAAATACATTTTTTGTTTTAAAAAGGATTTTTTTAGTCAAATTTTCAAAATTTTAGTACACATCATATGTACGATCTTAATATGCATATGTATTTATAAAATTGAAATTATACTGATTTCATTTTTTTATTAGCATCTTTCTCCTTGGTCATTGTAATTTATTTATCTTTTTATTTATTGTTATTGTTTAAATATGGTGATTTTTTTCTTTAAAATCGTAAATGTGTGGCTTAAATTTTAATATTTGCAAATAAAATTTCATTAAATAAGATTATTTTAAATAAATATGCAAAAAATTTTTTTTTAAAAAATATCTTTGCAATAAAATTTTAAGTTTAACCGATCAAAATAACTAAGTTAAAAAATCAGCAATAAATTTGTACATCATGTGACATATTTGAAAAAAAAACCCAGGCGGTGATCACCCAGGCGACGGTTAGCAATCCTCCTAAAAAAATATCTCACAATTCCCCAAAAATTAATTATAACAATCTATTGCTATGAAAAAAAAAATTCCCCAATTATAACAATCTATTGTCATGAAAAAAACATTTCCCATAGAATTTACTAACCGATCTATTGTTACAAAAATAAATAAGTAAATTATATGTCAGTCTATTTATATTGAGCCTTAAAAATAATCAGGGAAAATATTATTACTAATAATAATAAGAAGAATCGGGAAAAAAGGCAATTACCGTAGTGCCACAGCGTCAATCCGATCACCGATCCAAATCTAGATGGCTTAAGAATGTGGTTTGGGAAAAAAAAAAAGGAAAGAAAAAATAAGTACCGAAAAAAATTCTGAAAAAAAAGTACAATAATCTGGTCCAAAAAGACTGAAAAAAAAGTTAATAATACGGTATAAAAAAAAGACCGAAAAAACTGTAAAAAAATGGTCTTAAAAGACCAATAAAAAAAAAAATTTTCAGTTTAGGAAAAAAAACCAATAAAATTCTCGGGTGGAAAAAAAACCAAACCGAAAAAAAAAAGAAAGTAGTAAAAGATCGATTCAAGGAAAAAAAAAAATGAATATAAATCGGTCTAAGTTAATAATTAAACAAACCGGTATTTTTAAATTGGATGGTACTAATTAAGATTTTTATTCAGTCGATCGTTTACAAAATGACGCAAAAAAATCACTTACGTTTTAAATCTGATTTGTCACGTGAAAGAAAGATTCGTAATCCGGATCGGGACCCGTGAAATAGTCATGTGATTCTGTAACAAAAAGGTTAACCTAAATCTATTTATATTCTAACCCCCTATAATTTTTACACGGATATCAATTATTGTTTAAATGTGACCACAATGGACACTTATTGCGGATTTGTATAAACCATTAAACGCTTAATGCTAACAATTAATACCATTAAAAGAAAGCACTTCATATTATTCTAACAAATAAATATTGTTTTTTTCGTAATTTTGTATACTGTATTATTAACCTTTTTTGAAATAAAAATGCACATTTTATTTTGTAACAATTACTAGTTCTTGATAATATGTACTCATACGTATAACCCCTATTTATGCAATAACCTAAAAGTGAATAATACGATACTTGAAACGTGTAACATTTTCCGTTATAAATATCTATTATGATAATTATGAAAAACAAAGAAATCGAGAAATTGAAATATTTAATATATGTGATTGTATTTTTAGTGAATAAATCCAAAAAAAGATATCAAATATTTAAAAATAAAATCATTCAAACATTTTTTGAATCTTTCGTGTCACATTATGACGTTATATACTCTAGATTGTCGAGAACTATCTATTATTCATCGATATTAATTTTAAAATGAATATGGTCTATTATAAAATTGTTTAAAAGAGTTCTAAAATTAGTTCCTTTATTATTACAGTATTACAAAACCTCGCTTGATCTAATTCTCATTTAGGCGTTTCGTAGTCGTTTGAAACGTATGTGTTTTCATGATTGGTTTTATAATATATACAGTATATTAGTTGCTTGTTACTTATGATTTTCGAATGTTCATAATTAATCAATTCACCAGATATGTACATACCAACATTTTTGATAATATTTTATCCGTATAATGATTGTTAAATAAAAGACATTTTAATTTTTTTTCGATCTAATCGGAATTGAAAATATTGTGACTCCGATAAATGTGTGTGCCAAGTAACGAACGATAAATTCTTTGTTTTATTTTCAAATATAAATATATTTAGGACCAATGAGCGATCAATACAACAAAGGAATATGGATAATAAAAGTGACACTAATAAATCAATAGATCAATCGTTTAGAATATNTAAAAAAAAGGAAAAAAAAAAGGAAAAGAAAAGGAAAAGGTTTGGAAGAGAAAAGAGGAAACTTAAAAAAAAAAGAAAGAACTGAAAGTAAAGGATCGATTCAAGGGAAAAAAATGAAAATTAAAAAAAAGGGAAAAAAAATGAACTAATAATCCGATTAAAATTTCATTAACCGGAATTGAATTAGATATAACAATGACTTACGGGTCTTAGGCTCTTAGCTATAAAGAATACAGATCAGCAATTCAAAATTAATTTATACAGATTAATCTAAACGTAATCAATTTTTTTAGTATATTATAGATGAATATATTAATAATATAATATATGAATTTACAAAGAATATGAGTAATAGGCGGAAGATTGATAATGAATTCTATTTAAAATTATTATTTATAGAAGAATTTTTAGAAAAAAATAATATAGTTATAATGGACTGTAACGAAAAAGAATATAAAATAGTGAAAAATTTAAAAAAGAAGATGAGAGAAAGTTTGAATGATAAAATAATAAAGCAGATGATAAATCATCAAGTCGAGATAGTAGAAGAAGCACTATTAGTTAACGAATATAATTTAATTTGGAATAAAAAAATTATAACTGGAGGATTTCGGAACTGGAAAAAGAAAGTTACGAACGTGATATGGAAAAATGAAATTCTCAATAGCGAAAAACTAGATGACCTATTCATGTACAATTTCAGAAATGGCTGTATTAAAAATTTATTAAAAGAACAGCCAACTTACGGCACTCTTTTTAAAAGAAATAAAAGAAATACTAATAAAATAGAAAATGAAGAATGCAAAAGATGTGGTAAAAATGAGAAAGAAACTTGGGAACATATTTGGTTATGTGAAGATAACGAAATTACGATAGATGAAATTGTACAAGAAGCAATATATAAATTTGAAAAAAGTCTAGATGATACAACTGACATTAATGATACAACAATTACGACTGAAAGAAATTATAATTTTGACTTCATAAGGATCTTAGAACACCCTTCGATAATTTAAGAGGTAAAAGTCGAATATGGGAGATACTTAGAGGAGTGTACAACGAGAATTTCAATAAACTAACGCAAAAGAAAGAAGAAAAAGCAGTTATAAAAAGATTATGGAATTTTATTTACAAAGAATTCAAAAACAGAATATGGATACCAAGATGTGAAGAAATAAAAAGAATAGAACAAAAGGAAGGTATACAAAAAATAGATCTGAGGAAAAAGAGAAACAGAATAGATGAAGATCACATGACGGATAAAGATATCGAAAACAAAAATTAGAAAAAATAGAAAAAAATAAATTTAACAAAAATATTAATTTAGTAACGTTAAATAGGTTAATAGGAGTAAATTACAGATGAGATTTAACGATCAAAAGTTATAAATTTTAATTTTAAATTTTTACGTACATAATTACTTTAAATAGTCAATTTTTATGATAGTTAATATTAGATATTTGATCTTAGAATACTTAGTCATAGGGTTTTGAGAAATTTATTTTCGATAAGATCTAGGTGTTTTAATAATTAATTATGTAATTTGTATTAAATTTAAATAATTAATAAAATGCGTTACTATTTAATTAAAAAAAAAAATACATGCGCAGTGATTGATGGTTTTACCTTACTGTATTCTGAACTTTACCGGGTTTTACCAAATGTACCTCAGTAACTATTAGGTGTCCCGTATATTATATGAAATCAGCTGTAAGACTACCGGCTGATCATATGATAGGCGTGAACTGTGAACATTTGCCACAGATGAAGACATTTTTTTTTTTTTTGTAGTTATTAGCAGCGCATTTATTTTATTATGTGTTTACAGCTATTTGCGAAAATAACGGACCACCTAATTCATTTTTCGACTGTATATGAAATTTTCATATGCAGTCATATGCATGGTAATATCTGCCCGGACCGTCAAACTCATTTTTCAGTATATCACATAATTCTAGCAGCTTACTATGCGTAGTCGAAAATCGACCCGTTATTTTTGCAAATAGCTGTAAACAAAATATAACAAATACATAGAGGTAACGTCGGACAACGATAACCCTATAACTAACCAGTCTATCTTAAATAAATAATAATACGCTAAGAGAAAACACCAGACGGCCATCCAAAACTAAACTAAAATAAAAAACAAAAACATAAACTAGCATCACTCAGGGATGTAGAAACACAAACTACTGACTCCAACTAACTCCTGGTTTTTCATCACGAACTCCCGAGTAACCCATGCATACCACACCCGTCGTGACCGACCTTTCTCTAGCCAGGTCACAAAAAAAACCATAAAACTAAACTAAGATAAACAGGTGAAGACATGATCTATCGCGTTATATGTAATACACTTTACTTATCATTTTATATGACATATTAAATAAGCGATTAGTATAAAAATTAATTTTCTCTTTTTTATTTGTGATCGGTTCTTATTGCATCATCGGGGAAAATGTGCAAAAAAAAATACATGTGAAATTTTAGCCCGCGATATAAATCTGCGATTTGATTTTAAATATTGCATCCTAAGTTGTTTTTGTGATTTCATGAGTTTTATGTCTTCATCCGAACGGAATTGATATTAAATTTCAATTCTTTAAATCTTCTTTTATTATGCCTTATGATAAAAAGGGCTATTTAAATGTTACTACAGTGTATACGGATTTCAATTTTAAACCTGCTTACATAGATTACAAACTTGATTTTTATTTATTAGATTTATTAGATTTGATATTAATTTCCGAGGTTACAATATCAAATTATTATTAACAAGTCAGAAAATGATCGACAATTGCATGACAATTGACGAAGTAGTAGTTACCTAATTGTAAAAAGGTTCTTTTGTTAAGCTTAGCAATTACTTTAAGCTCCACTCAAAGTTCAACGTTTACTCGTTATTTTTTTTTTTTTTCAACTTCAACTATAATTTCAAAAATCTCATTTCTGGTGAATTTCCCAATAGAGTGGGCGGGGAATTTTTTGAACTTCTCGATTTTACCTTTGTCAATCTTATTGAAAATGCAGTAGACTTTGAGAGCATTGTGAGCCTGTCTCTTATACACATCTAGATGTGTATAAGAGACAGCCCAATAGAGTGGGCGGGGAATTTTTTGAACTTCTCGATTTTACCTTTGTCAATCTTATTGAAAATGCAGTAGACTTTGAGAGCATTGTGAGCAACGTAAATCTCTTCATCAGACAGATTTTTATGCTTTTGTTTAGGATACTTAGCAAAAAACTTTTTAAGCGTAAGTCCACTTCCGCTGTTGTAGAAATCAATATAATGGTTAAGAATTTTTTCTACGTCGGACTTGATAAATGAAAATTTTTCTATAATCTCTTTGTACTCAGGTCTTTGAGAATATCCAGGAGAGACATTGCCTCTTAAGCATTTTTCAAGCGCTTCTCCAAGGTTGTAATATTCTTCAAAAATTTGTTGATTTGCATTGAATTCGATATCATTAACTGACTCGATAAAAGATTTAGATTTATCGTCGACTGACTTTTTATTGTATTGGAGCGGTGTATTCTCGTTTAACTCTTCATTAAATTTTTTAACTTTTAAAAGAGATATATCCGGATCTAAACCACGAAGAAGATACGCAATTTCAACTTTCTCGTCTCGCGACAAATAAACCTCCTTTATCCAATTCCTATCCTTAGAGGCATAGGGTCTAAAAAAATAAAAAATAATCGTCCATATCCGAGTCTCATCGCTTTCCAGAAGACCTACCGAGAGAGCACAAGGAATGACAAAAAGAAAAAGAATAAGGTGGTTGTTTTCAAGCTCCTCTCTTGGGTTAGAGAGAACGGACTTAAGAATACACTCACAGAACAAATAATAAATCCCGGTCAAACTAAGAAGAAAATCTAGCCCAACATCAAGATATTTAATGTCAGGTAGTAGCCCAAAATAATCTATCCCAACAAGAAGAAGAACAACAATAGAAGCATGTATAGCCCATATAGATTGCCATGACATCGCTTGTTCCAGATCATTCCTTTTCTCTCGCAATGTCATAGTTGTCGTTTCTAGTTTTTCTCCCAAATCTCCTTTCATACAAAGTTGAATGACCTCATCTTTGGGTTCATTTTTGGATTCATCTTTATCATTATCAAAAAAAAAATAACTACTTCCAAGCGCAATAATACTACCCCCAGAAATGATAGAAGCAAAAGAAGATTGTAACAATCTAAATACGTCTAACAAAATTTCCTTCTCCATAAGCTTCAAAATTGCAATAGTAATCCCAAAAAGAGCCACAACACCACAAACAGAAACAATAAGATAATGCCATTGCAAAAAACAGTCGTAAAGAGAACGATATTCATCATTACTCTCTGTCAATTGACGTAGACGGTGTTTCGCCAGTTCCCGCGCTTCCAACTTGTCAATTTCTAGCGGCCCATTCTTGCTTGAATCAGAAGAATCAGACTTTCCATTCTCGCTAAATTCTGTACTCATCTTTGCAAAAATCCTTAGCAGAAAAATCTTTTATCGGACGCCCAGAGTTTTTATATGTGCTAACATATTATATTATATAAACTTGTTTTTATGATGTTCACTGCATAATCAGGTGCGGGGCAGTGATTATCAAGAATTTTTTTTTTTTGTGATAAAAATTAGCTGATCACCCGATTAGACACGCCAAAATAGGCCTATTAAATAGTGTATCATTCCTTTTTTAGATAATTCCGGTCGAAATTTTATCACGCATTTTTATAATTCCGGAACTGAAAACTCGTAACTATCATTGTTCCGTAAATAGTCATTTTTTATTTTGGCGCAATCTTGCATATTAACGCATAACTCAATGAATTCTGTTAAAGGATAAATTATTCATGTAAAAAAAAAAAAAGATCCTTAGTAATTGTTACAAATCTAAGTTCATTGTAAAAGACAAATTAGGATGGATTTACTAAGATTAACAGATGGTTATATTTGATTTGTATAAATTTTAAAGAAACAATATATGTACATTACGGTATTTTATTCAAATTTTTAAAATAAGAAACTAATACAAATTTCAATATGATGATAACAGAAATAAAATTTTTATGATACATAAAATAAATAGAATTTTGCTAATTCAGAAGTACAAAGAAATTATTGTGTCGAAATTGACTTAACCATTTCAATAATATTAAAAATCTCGTTTCTGGTGAGTTTCCCAATAGAGGAGTCGGAGAACGTTTTGGTTAGTTTGATTTTATCTTTTCCAATGCCTTTTTCGTCATTAAAAATGGAATAGACTTTAAGAGCATTGTGAGCAGCGTCAATCTCCTTGGAAATCAATTCCCTATGCCTTATTTGAGGATACCTATCAAAAAACTCAGCAAGCGTAAGCCCCCTTTGGAATTCACTGAATTCCATATAATGTTGTTTAATAATTTTTACGTCAGGGTGAAAAAAAAAGGACTTGAGTGAAAACTTTTTCACAATATCTACAATCTTCTCATCAACAGACTCTTCTGGAGATTTATCCTCAGCCTCAGAAAAGATATGGTCTACAAGCGCTTTTCCGAGTTCGAAATGTTTATAAAGAATTTCTTTCTTTGATTTGGATTCGATTTCATTAACTTTTTCGACAAACTTAGATTTTGATTCGTTAGCAGGATTTTCAAGAATAAACTCTTTACAAAATTTGTTAATCCTCAAAAGGGATAAATCTGGATTTAAACCATGAAGAAGATACTGAATTTCAACCTTCTCGTCTGGCGATAAATAAACTTCCTTTACCCAATGTTTACCCTTATAGTAACAGGGAGCAAAAAATCCAAAAATAATAGACCCTATCCAAACATCATCATCTAAAAGACCTACCAAGGAAGCACAAGGAATAACGAAAACAAAAAGAATAAGGTGGCTGCTTTCAAGCTTCCCTCTTGGGCTAGTGAGGACGGTCTTAAGAGTATGAGTACAGAACAAACAATAAGCACCAGTGATACTAAGAAAAAGATCTAGCCCAATGTCGAGATATTTAATGTCAGGTAGTAGCCCAAAAAAATCTATCCCGACAAGAAGAAGAATAATAATTGAAGCAAATATAGCCCATATGGATAGCCATGACATCGCTTTTTCCAGATCATGCCTTTTATCTCGCAGTTTATTAGTCGTCCTATCTAATTTTTCTCCCAAGTTTCTTTCTATGCTAAGTCGAATGACCTCAGCTTTGGGTTCATCATTGGGTCCATCATTGGGTTCATCTTTGGATTCATTAGCTCGCGCCTTCTTTTTAGGAAAAAAAATGTCACTCCCATACGCAATAATACCGGCTCCAGAACTGAGAGAAGCAAAAGAAGATTGAAGTACTTTAAAACTATACAACAGATTTTCCTTCCCATCAAACTTTAATAATACAATAATAATCCCAAAAAGAATCACAATACTACATATAGCAATAATAAGATAATGCCGTTTCAAATAATTGTTATAACAAAAAAAATATTTTTTATAACTTGATTTCAAATAACGTAGACGGTGTTTCGCCAGTTCCCGCGTTTCTAAATCATATGATTGATGTGTCAGCTCATTATTGCTCGAATCAAAAAAATGTAACATCTTTGCAAAAATTCTTATTATCAAAATCTTTTATCGTAGTAAATCGGACGCCCAGAGTTTTTATACGCTTTTTGAGAGGCTTTAATATATTATAAACATTTTCTAAAAAAAGTTCATATTGTTCTTATCCGTGTTACACAATTCAGAGATGATGTTCACCGCATAATCAGGATACCAATAGTCCGGGGCGGTGATTATCAAAAATAAGCTGATCCGATTTATGTAAGTTAATGCATGAATTTTTATTGTGGCGGAAACAATGTAAACAATGTCTAATTAATTTGGAACAATTGATTATAAGACAGCGAATACCTTCCGGGATTATTTTTGAATATACAAAAAACATGCTAATCCTGATAATGAAGAAATGTTCGATTGGATTAAGAAAATTACTGAATTAAAAAATTAAAAAAAAAATTGTGCTCTTAAAAATTACTTAGATTTATATTTGGTTGCAAACCCTGGAATACATATATAATGATAGCAAAAGTAATTTGTTAATGTTAGAATAATAGAATAGATTTACCGTAGACATTAGCTGTTTATAATATCTACACTAACTTAAATACACAAACTCACTCGAACAATTCTTCAGGAATTTTCAATACATTGACGAACTGTTGTTCCTTTAGATCGAAGTACCGATCGATCAATCTCGCCCATCAGTTCTTGTTCTTGATTCGTTATTTCATCCTGGAGAAAAACCGAATAAGTATTTTGGGAAAATAAATGAGCATAAATCATATGACACACATACGTGAAAATAGCCATCATCCCCAAGATAGCTTTCATCAGGAAATTTTCTCAGGGGATATATGTCGATAAAAATATCACGTGATATATATCGATAATAATCGCGCTCGTCGATGTGGTTAAATTAACAATGATCATCTATAGTCAAATAACGATAATCATCCATATAGTTAAATAACGAGAATTATTCTTATAGTGAAATAGCGTTATATTATCTTATAGTCAAATATCATTATTAAACACCATATTATTTTATTGTTAAATATCGTTGTATTATTTTATTGTTATATAGTGCTAATAAATACAATAAATACATAGTTTAAATCTATATTAAAATCTAATTACTCTAGAGATGTTTTCATTTCCGAAACTCCCAAATCTTACAAACTAAGAAAAAAGTTTCGAGCCCAAACGTCTGAAGCCTACAAAAAAGAAATGGAAAAAACGTTAAATAACGTTTTAAATTAAAAACGTAAGCTTCGCAATGAAATGAAAGTCGCGAAACTTACTCATCTCCAGTATCCGAACCCTAAAATCATGGGACCTACAAATAGAAGAATAAAACATTAATAAACGTTTATATTAAAAAAAAAACAAAAAAGAAACGGTAATTTTCGCAAAGAAACTTACCGTTTCTAATCTCAAGTACCCTGATCAATACCCTTTGGAACCTACAAAAAAGTTATAAAAAAAAGAAACGTAAGTAAACATTTCATTTAAAAACAAAAAAAAGGTAAGTTTCGTAACCTGTTTCAAAATCCTAACGCTTATATAATCGATACCTACAAAAAAAATAATAAACGAAACGTTAAAACCGTTTCTATTAATAAAAAACCAAATTATAAAGCTTCGCAAAGAAAAGTTGCGAAACTTACCAAAACCAAATGCCCGAAGCTCAATGAAACCTACAAAAAGAAACGTTAGAACGTTTCTTAATGTGATCTATTGTATATAGTATTTCGTACCAAAGAATTATTTTAAGATTATTAAGTTAATTACCAAAGAATTAGCCCTAACATAAATAAATATTCGCTTCAGGAGGAGGGTTATGTACACGTTTATAAACGGGTACGTGTACTTCACCATCAAGACGTGCAACGTCGCTATTATAATATAAAAAAATTTTAGGTCAAAATTAACAAATTTAAAAGATTTTCTAAGATAGTTAATTAAAACTTACAAGACAGCTTTATGTTTCCAGACAAAAGTAACAGCACGAAAGTCCATTAGTTTTCCCCTTTGATTAAGTAAATCACTACTTCTCATCGCTTCGCGAGTAACAACTTCATTACGTTCGAAATCACATATGCAGTTCCCACAATTCGTAGCAAGGTATTTTATTGATAATTTTAAAAAAAAATATTCTACAAATTATAAATCCAGTTCACAGTTCTCATATACCGCAAATTTAAAAGCCTGGCAATATTGTTATGACAAACTCTATCAAAAGCATTCACTAGTGGGATATGAAAATGAAATATAAAGGTAAGAGTGGATTAGAAGTACAGTCTGACCTCGATATAACGAACCCACGATATAACGAACTCTTGACTTACCGAACTTTTTTTTAAAAACCGGGTTCATATTATTTAAAAAAATCTCGATATACCGAATTTCATATAAACTCGATATAACGTATACCGAACTTTTATGATTTACCGTTTATAATAAAGCATATAAAAAAAATTCTTTATATACCGAACTTGATCACGTGGTTGAAATTTCACATAATTTATACTGTTAAATCTTAATTTCTGGCCAAAATTAATATTCTTTAATCACGTGATAACTTTATATACCGAAC